ATGGTACAAGGATAAAGCATGTTTCTTAACTTTTCTCCGTATCTCTTACATTCACTTGCTTGCTTTTGGAAGAGTCCATTCAAAGTTGATATCATCTATTGATGAGCCGCTTGACGAGGAAGGACCTGGAAAGCGAACAGACAAAATTGTGAATACTGATGTCAGCTAAATGATGACCTGATTGGAAGAAGTACGCTAATTTTGGTAACAAAAAATTTGCTGTGACACTTTCTAAAAGCCTCCAAAAATTTCTGAAATAGAGCCTGTAGTCAACTTGCTTACTTCCCTACGCTACGTGTTAAGCCCTTGCTTATGTTCTGTCTTGGTCAAAAGTACAAAGTGTGAATTATTTGACTGAACTCACTTCTTGAAAATGGAAATTTCCAAGATGAAACATCAATTGCATCGATATCTTCAGCCGCAATCTCTTTGGGTCGAAATGATGATGTGGTCAACTTATGTGAACCAAGCGAAGCAGGTGTCATCAAGGATGAAGTCTAAAATGCGAATATCCTTACGATTTCTGAAATCTAAAAAGAGGAGGAAGAACACCACTGATACCTGTTTCTGAACTGAGGGAATTTTGGGTCTCAGGTCAGCGTGTGCCGCAAATTCTGGGTCATCATCAAGCTTACTCGCACCCACCGTCTGATTGAAAAGTTTTTCTAGTTCGGGAGTGATCGAAGAATCATGGCACAACAATTCAAAACCACTCGGGCTAAAGTGACGCATATCTGTTGAGAGAGGTAGTCTTGTAGTGACCTACCAGTTTTGGAATATGTTCTCACACGTGTTGTCCGTAGGCTGACTTCGCTGATCGCTAACAGCGATACATCCCGTACGATCCATGAGTGATTGAAAGATCTGTTTACAAAAAAAAAGTACAATGGCTGAGTGACTTTTTTCATAGGTGCTAAACGTTAGAAAATCTCTTACATTATGAGATGATCTAGGCTCAGTTTCGCTACGTTCGATGCTTTCAGAGAGCAGCCGCAGTGCAACGGTATCATATTTGTCATGATGATCATCACGAAGGTATATGGAGGGTAAAGACGATAATATACGCGCAGAAACGTCAGCAAGAGAAAGCATGTGAGTTGAGCGTTTCCTAAATAAGAACACATCTTAGATAAGAGCAGAAGGGCAAAGTGCGCTTACTTTTCAAGGCTCTGCTGCTGGCAACCATGCTCAGGAGTTTGCAACTTTTGACAATGCTCTTCTGCCGCTCTTGTGATGCCACCTCGACATCGCTAGAAATGTGGGCTCAGTAGGCTAAGCTTTC